TCAAAAATGTTTTGCTGGTAATATTTTTTTACAAAGTATTTCTGATATTAAAACCTAATTTTACACTTTCACTCTGTTTTGGCTCCATTTTGAGGCTTAACTATTTGCCCATAGCTGGGACCCTAACAGGTGCTACCACCCCAGGTCAGAGTGAACCTGGGAACACCAGCAATTAAAACATGGTTATACGCTCCTCAAAACCTTCTGAACAGAGGCCTTGCTACTGGACGTAGTTTCTCGTCTTACCCAGGACGTGGATGCAGTTTATCGTCATACCCAGGACGGCACAGAGGTGTTGATATACTGTTAAACTAAAAAAATTAAACAAATCGTTGAAAATCCACAAGGTTCGGATTTTAATCGAAAGGTCAGGTTTTAAGTCTTGAACAAATAGGAAAATGGCGTAAACAATTTATGCAACATCGATAGAGGCCAAGTCGTGTTAATATGGCAAATTCTCCGTTGTGAAATCTCACCAAAAAAATCTTAGAAATTCCCATCGGCCTTAACTGAATAATTCAAATACGAACCTGAACAGACATAGAGCTCTAAGCAAATTCTTTTAAACTCCTCGTAAGTGCTCTACACTGACAGCGGGAAATGCAACAGACATGTTGGTGTCGCGGTGACAAAAGAACCTTACGAATTGTATCCAGAGCATTAACCCTGGAGCTAAATCTGCAAGTGAAAGGAGAATAAATCCCTTAAAAATCCGAATTCTTCTTTCTTTCTATGTCCCGTGTCTTTTCAGGACGTAGACAATCATGGCTCTCCACCTCTTTCTATCCCTTGCATCTCTCAACAAGTTCCTTCTATCATCTTCCACACTCAGACCACGTTCTGTTATCCACTTGCTTAAGGCCGCTGCGTTGTTTTCCCTTGTCTCTCTTTCCCTCTATTTGACCCGTGAGTATCAGATTCTCCAAGCCCTCCTTCCTCATTATGTGTCCCAGAAACTTCAACTGCCTCTTCCTGATATTAAGTATAAGCCTTCTCCTTGTTTGCAATCTCTCTAAGATGGTCACAAAATCATATAAGCATATGGCCAGAATAATACCTAACGAAGATGAGGGTAGTCTATTCCTGCGATCGTTCACAAAAATTAAATCCCATAACTTTAGTAATATTAATTTATTCAAATATGTCATGATCTGCTTTCCTTTGTCTCTCTTTCCCTCTATTTGACCTGTGAGTATCAGATTCTCCAGGCCTTCCTTCCTCATTATGCATCCCAGAAACTTCAACTGCCTCTTCCTGATATTAAGTATAAGCCTCCACCTTGTTTGCAATCTCTCTAAGATGGTCACAAAATCATATAAGCATATGGCCAGAATAATACCTAACGAAGATGAGGGTAGTCTATTCCTGCGATCGTTCACAAAAATTAAATCCCATAACTTTAGTAATATTAATTTATTCAAATATGTCATGATCTGCTTTCCTTTGTCTCTCTTTCCCTCTATTTGACCTGTGAGTATCAGATTCTCCAAGCCCACCTTCCTCATTATGTGTCCCAGAAACTTCAGCTGCCTCTTACTGATATTAAGTATAAGCCTCCTTCTTGTTTCCACCCGCCTTTAAAACCTCATCGTTGCTCACACGCTCGGTCCATGATATCCTTAGCATCCTTCTGTAGAACCACATTTCTGTCGCCTCGAGTCTCTTCTTTATCTTTGAGGAAATCGTCCAACATTCGCTGATGTAAAAAAAAAAAAAAAAAAAGGCAGATGTCACGTAACAGCTCAGAATTCTTTTCTTTGTTACCAAAGAAATTCTCCTGTCTTGCAAATACTCTGCACAGCTTTTGGAATGTGTCCTTGGCCATCCCAATACGTCTACGGATCTCAGTGTCACATTTAGAATGCTTCCCATATATTTAAACTTCCGCGTCTGTTTGATTCTAGTGCATCCCGACCTGCAACTCGCATTTGGGTTCATCCTTTTACTGATAGTCCTCAGTAAAAATCCGAATTAAAAAAAATAATAGCAAAAAGATAAGGAGTGGCTTTCGAGAATCTATGGGGGGTGCGAAAAGGGTATCCACTTGTTTAAACAGATTGTGGTTAAATTAAACCGCCTAACACTGGGTGAGCAACTTACCGACCAAGGTACCCCTCCTCGGGTGCAGGAAAAAAAAATGTCAGTGATAGATCATTTTCTATTAGGAAGGGAAATGTTTTCAAGAATATACGTAAGTGTTAGAAAAAGCGGGAGACGGAAGGAGAAAGAGAGAAAAACATTCGAGAGAGAGAAAGAGAGAAAGAGAGGAAACGAAAAAGAGAGAGAGAGAATACGAAAGACAAAGAAGAAGAAAGAAAAAACAGAGAGGAGGAAAAGAAAGAAAGCAAAAAGAAGAAAAAGAAAATGAAAATGAAAGAAAAAGAAAACTAAAAAGACAGAAAGAAACAGAATGAGGAGAGAGAAGGAAAAAAGGGGATTTGAAAAAGAAAGAAAGAAAGAAAGAAAGAAAGAAAGAAAGAAAGAAAGAAAGAAAAAGAGAAAAGTAGAAATACAGAAGAAAAGAGAATGAGAAGAAGAGAAAAGAAGAAAAAGAGAATTGGAAAAAGAAAGAAAGAAAGAAAGAAAGAAAGAAAGAAAAGAAAGAAAGAAAGAAAGAAAGAAAGAGGAAAGTAGAAATACAGAAGAAAAGGAATGAGAAGAAGAGAAAAGAAGAAAAAGAGAATTGGAAAAAGAAAGAAAGAAAGAAAGAAAGAAAGAAAGAAAGAAAGAAAGAAAGAAAGAAAGAAAGAAAGAAAGAAAAAAAATAGAAATACAGAATAAAAAGAGAATGAGAAGAAGAGAAGAGAAGAAAAAGGGGATTTGAAAAAGAAAGAAAGAAAGAAAGAAAGAAAGAAAGAAAGAAAGAAAGAAAGAAAGAAAGAGAAAATAGAAATACAGAATAAAAAGAGAATAAGAAGAAGAGAAAAAAGATAAAGAGAATTGGAGAAAGAAAGAAAGAAAGAAAGAAAGAAAGAAAGAAAGAAAGAAACTGAAAAGTCGAAAGAAGAAAACAGAATGAGAAGAAGTGAGGAGGAGAAAAGGAGAATTTGAAAAGGGAAGAATAAGAAACGGAACATTCGAGATAGAGAGAAAGAGGGAAAACAAAAAAGAGAGAGAATACGAAAGACAAAGAAGAAAAAAGAAAAAACAGAGAGGAGGAAAAGAAAGAAAGCAAAAAAGGAGAAAAAAACGAAAAAAAGAGAAAGAAAACCAGAAAAAGAAAACTAAAAAGACGAAAGGAATCAGAATGAGAAGAAGTGAAAAAAAGAAAAAGAGAATTTGAAAAGGGAAGAAAAACAAAGAAAGAAAGAGAAAAGTAGAAAGACAGAAGGAAACAGAATGAGAGAGAAAGGGGGGAATTAAAAGAGAGAGAAAGACAATGAAAGAAACAGAAACGTAGTAAGATAGATAAAAACAGAATGAGAGAGAAAGAAAGAAAGAGGGATTAAAAATGAGGAGAAACAGAAATGTAGAAAGATAGACAGATAAAAAGAGAACAGGCGAGAGAAAAAAGGATACAAAAGACAGAACGATAGAGAGAGAGAAAGAGAGAGAGGAACAGAAAAAGAGAGATAGAAAGAAGAAGAGTAGTTGAAAGAGGAAGAAAATGAGATCGAGTGAGAGAAATAGAAATGGCGTCATTGAAAAAGGGGAGAAAAACAGAAATGTAGAAAGATAGAAAATAACCAGAAGTAGAAAGAGAGAGAGAGTAAAAAAAGAAATTGAAAAAGAGAGAAAAATAAAAAGAGAAAAACTGAAAAGGAGAAAGACATTTCAAAATAGAATAAGAGAGAGAGAGAGAGAGAGAGAAAGGAAAATAAGAAATGAGAATGAGAGAATAAAGAGGAAAACAGAGAAGTAGAAAAGCAAATATAGACAAAATAAGATATATATATATATATATATATATATATATATATATATATATATATATATATATATATATATATATATATAAGAAAAATGAAAATTGAAAAAAAGAAAAAAAAAAAAGAAAGGAACAAAATTGTAAAAAGATTGAGAAAAAAAAGCCGGGAGAGATAAAGAGAATGTTTTATTTGTCAACTACTACATTTGTATATACTTCTTGCATATCTCTCTCCACTAATTAAATTATAATTCTTTTTATTTTTTTTTTTTTCATATATATTACTGATAATATTTTCAGATAAATCGTTTTACACCCATACTTATTCTACACTTTATACGGTCCAGGAATATTTCAAAATTTGATTATAAAAGGTTATATTAACATCCCTTATTATTTTTTTAGAGAAAATCACCACTTCTAAATTTCAATCCACAAAACAGGTTCCTTGATTACAGAATTAGTATTGATAACCCCATGTTGAATTGAATATAGTCTAATGTTAATTATGTTTTATGAAAATGTCCTGAAGATGGTCTATTTGATCGAAACGTCCGACGTTGACATTATATTAATATTAAAACAGCATAATTGCATATTAGGATTTTTGTTTGTTTTTTTTTTTCGTATATTTTTCTTCATACATATATATATATATATATATATATATATATATATATATATATACTAAAAATCAGGAGGTCAGTTGAAACCACTACGTTGGTTGCAACCTTACGGTATTCTCAGGCGATTCTTATCAAATGACCTCTTAACGTTTTACCGTTTAATTTTTTTTTTTTTTTAAACTAAAGAATGCTACATTATTATTTTCAAAGATAAATAAACAAACATACGGCGTTGTGTGTAATACAAAGGGAGTAGGAGGATGTGTAGAAGAAGAAGAAGAAGAAGAAGAAGAAGGGAGGAGAAGAAGAAGAAGAAGAAGAAGGGGAGGAGAAGAAGAAGAAGAAGAAGAAGAAGAAGAAGAAGAAGAAGAAGAAGGAGGAGGAGGAGGAGGAGAAGAAGGGGGAAGAGAAGAAAAGCAAATGTATTGGAAACGTAATAGTGGGGGAGGCTAAATTACGTTTTATATCCAGCCACATATGCATTTTACACACACAGTAAATGAACAGGAATTTAGAAAACAGAAAATAAGAGTTGACTTTGTATTGAAATCTTTGAAAATCAAAGTTGGCTGGAAAACATGGAACTGGAAGACACATTGCATAGAAATTTTATTCCTGTGGCAGGAATTTTATACTTTTTTATTATTTCATATCTGGAAACCTAACATATATATATATATATATATATATATATATATATATATATATATACAATAAAATCCCAAATCACCTCATATGGGGAATAAGCTTATTTTGACCAACGAAAATATAATTCGTCGGTGTTATCAACCCTGGTATAGACTGAGTTCGTGTCGGAAATAGAAATTCAACTGTGAAAGCGAAAGAAAAAAAAACGCCGAAAAGCTAATACAGAATTTATTCATTTCAATGTTTCAGTCAGACGAAAGAAACGAGACAGTGGTCAGGGGAAGATGGAAAGTATTTGTCTTAAAGAGAAGAGGTTTTATAAAATTAAACCCGGACAGTAACCTTATGACATTGAATTGGGGTTATATGGAGAATGAAATGTTAATTTAAAACTAAGAGAGAAATAAAAATGGATTTTAAAAAAATTTATATAACGTTATCTTTAAAACTACAAAGTTATAGTTAAAAGTACAGAATCATATTCCAAAAACATGCTGTATTTAAAAATAAGATATATTTAAATAAGTTATATTTTAAAATAAGTCATATTTAGATGATTTATATTTAAAAGTAAATAAAAATATATTTAAAAAAGTTATATTCAATATAAAATAAATAGGTCATATTTAAAAATAAAAATATATTTAAAAATAAAAATATAATAATATATAATAAATTATACAAAATAAAAATATAAAATTAAAAATATAATGAAATAATAAAAAAAGTTATATTTAAAAATGAGTTATATCTAAAAACAAGTTATTTTTAAAAATATAAAGTTATACTTAAAAATACAAAAACAACCATAAAATATATAAATAAAGAGATGTGAGTGATAAAAGGAAATAGAGTTCTTAGAATAGGGGACAATTTAAAAATTATAATTAGCATCGTGTAAAGATGGATATATAGAAATTAGAATTAGTTATAAATTCGATATTTGAAGAGTTACAGAAATATAGTCGCTAATTAAGTTAAGCCTATATTATGGAAATAGGAATTTGTTTTTATGGCGATATTTTAATACTAATTCATTCCTCTGATTCAGTAGTTGACTTTGATTATTGTATTTGATTATTCTATTTTTTTCTTCTAAACATAAGTCAGACCTCTCTCTGTTTCTATTCTCCACCACGCGGAAATTCCAATGTAAACATTATAATTTTTCATATATATATATATATATATATATATATATATATATATATATATATATATATATATATATAAAAAAGGTAATCCGCAAGGAATTTCCAAGCGGATAAAGATCCAATGAGTGCTCTTTGTCAGTGACAGAGCTAAATTATTAATTAATGAATATCAAACACTAGAACACTTGGTTTGCAGGTCTGAATGATTGAAGGCTATTTTTATAGCTTTTATGAAATAAAGATTATTACCTATGGTAGTATATATATATATATATATATATATATATATATATATATATATATATATATATATATGTGTGTGTGTGTGTGTGTGTGTGTGTGTGTCAGTCTCAGTCTGATTATATCTATCTATCTATTTATCTATCTATCTCAGTCTGTTCGTATATCTATCTATCTATATCAGTCTGTAAATATCTATCTATCTATCTGTCTATTTATCTATCTGTTTGTCTCTGCCAGTATCTATCTATCTATCTATCTATCTATCTATCTATCTATCTATCCCAGTCTGTTCGTATCTATCTATAGCTTGCACCCACCAAGAAAGGCAATAAATCCACTAAGACTGATGGGTTTTCTTAAGATGAAAGAAACTGAGAAAATTTTACTAAAGAGAAAAGACAATAAGAACAGGATTTAAAGAAACAGAAGATGGCGATTGACGCTGCATTAAAATAAAATTAAGATTGTAGTTGACGCATTAAACAAGAATTTGGAAGAGATTTGCACAGGCGAGAAGAACGAGCGAAGAAACTATTAGAAAAGGACTTACGGTTGCATCTAGCCATTTCAACTTTAAAATAATGAGACCTTCCCGCCAATCTAGTACTGCGCTTAAATTCATAATGTCTCGGAACCAAAGAAGACATCTCATCAGAACAATTACCATAGAAATATGCAGAGACGAGGAAGGTACGTTACGGCGATGGGAAAGTGACTGCAGCTGAGATGCCAGGTCAAGACCGATAACATTGCAGATTCTTCTTTGTATTTTATCAAGAATCTCTAAGAATCAGACCAAATGCAATATTCAAAGCATGGACGCAGGCTAGACATATAAATATGTGCGATAGATTCTGGCAAGAAAAATTGTCTAACACGACAGAGTTAGCCAACTTTCCTAAGAACAGGCCTAGAAACTGATTCGAGATAATCTTTCCACTTCACCGATCCCGGCTTGAAGCAATAAGCAATCGGATGTCTACCCACACTGATGAGATGTGATACAGCAGAGCAGGCTGTCTGAGAATGACTATTATATATATATATATAGATATATAGATATATAGATAGATATATAGATATATAGATAACGTCATTGACCGCACCGTGACCCAAAACTTTGGTACTATTGTGGTGAGGTGATCGAAGTTTAATTTTGAACGAGTCAATTGTCTTGCTGCTGTTACAGTGTAAACCTGGGCGCTCCGCTAGCAGTGTGCACTGGAAAGAAAGAAAGAAAGAAAGAAAGAAAGAAAGAAGATAGAGGAGAAGATGAAAGAAAAGATGAAAAATTGAAAAGAAAAGGAAGGAAGGAAGGAAGGAAGGAAGATAAGAAGATAAATGAATGGACGACAATGGAAAAAAGAAAGAAAAAGAGAAAAATTAAGAAAGATTCGACGATGAAAGAAAGGTCAACAAATTGAAAAAAGAATGAACGCGGTAAAATAAAAGAAAAGAAAGAAAGAAAGAAAGAGTGGAAGATGAAAGAAAAAGTCAATTTGAAAAGAAAGAAATAAAGAAAGAGTAGGAGATTAAAGAATAGAAGTAAAATTGAAAAGAAAGAAAGAAAGAAAGAAGGAAGGAGGTGACGATGAAAAAAGACAACAAATGGAAAGAAAGAAAGAAAGAAAGAAAGAAAGAAAGAAAGAAAGAAAGAAATAAAAAAAAGGGGAGAAATTGAAAAAGAAACAAACAAAAAGAAAAATTAAAAAAAAAGTCAAATTAAAAAAGAAAGAAAGAAAGAAAGAATCTGGGAAAGTTAAAAGAAAGCGGAAGATTTTTTTTTTATTTGTTGAAAATAAAAAAATTCCAACAAGACAAAGAAAGAGAGACATGAAGAGGAATGAATGATTGACAATCAAGTAGCCATTAGAAAGAGAGTTTTGTTGAAAGAAAGACGACACAAAGCATGCCGGTCGCGCCCGCCATACTTAACCGGTCACGACCCCGCTCGTAAATTTCACTGTGAGGACAACTCAGTTTATCAAACTTACTAAGATGTTCCCGATTTCATTCGAAGTTTGAAATCTCAGCTGCGCACAGCTTTGCATAGATATTAACTGGGATACGTCTCTTTACCTCTCACCCACAAGTGCTGTACTTCATACAGAAGCAGTCACTCACACGAAAAAAAAATGTCCTACGTTCAGACATGGAACACATTCACCAGAGAATAAAAAAAAAACAAGCTAAATCTGATTCTGAATCGTAAATAAATGAATAAAAGTTTCTTAAAGTTACGTTACTCTGTTAATGGCGGACACAGAATAAAAACTGCAAGACTTCTAATACAAAGGAGTAAAAGATAGCGAAAGGAAAGAAGTGTAAAAGTAAACAGTATGTATGGTCGTCGGCAAAAGAAATATAGCCTGAAGTAACAGTTACAAATTGGCGACGACTGAATCAGGTAAGTAAAATATTTAATCCTTTGACCACCGCTTTACCGGTGGTTGAGAAAAATTACGTAATGTCCAGCCATCGGTTGAACGGTGGGTAAACACTTGTTACTATTTTTATAACTACCTTGAAACATTACATACCAATTTGCGAATTTTGACTCAGGAGCTCAGGGAGAAGGGTTACTGTTCAGGAACGCAGGGTTCAAAGGGTTAAATGTAACGATATGACGAGAGAGGTCACGGAATTTCATTCTATGAAGGTCTGGAATTAATCCGAACCCCACACCCTGGAACTTCCCAGAAGCTCAGTGCCCAGAGCGATCGGTAGGACAGGAGAGGTCACTGAATTTCATTCTATGAAGGTCTGGAATTAATCCGAGGCCCACACCCTGGAACGTCCCAGAAGTTCAGTGACCAAAGAGATGAAGGACAGGAGAGGTCCCATGTTCATTCTACGATATTTTAATCCCCCACTGAACGTCCCAGATTATTTACGAATTTTGAGTTCAGGAGGAACTCATATTTTAGGGTTAAAATTGTTCAGAAACGTAGGGCTCGAAGGATGAATTTTAACGTAGGGCAAAGCCAGGATGAATTTTACGTCGAGGAAAGGAAAGCACATCACGTTACGAAAGTTCGAAATCCACATCACCTAACTTTAATATCCAAAACATAAGCAACCTATTTTTTTTTTAATGAATTTATGAATGTTTATTCATAATCAGACATTAGATTACCTTACGGGTCGCATCAGTGTGAAACACCGATTCCCGTACCAAGACCGAAGTTAAGCAACATTGAACCTGGTCAGTACCTAGATGGGTGACCGCTTGGGAATACCAGTTGCTGTAAGCTTGGATGGGCGAGTAGAAATGGCTTACATCACGTTGAAACACCGATTCCCGAGCGAAGTTAAGCAACATTGAACTTGGTCAGTACCTAGATGGGTGACCGCTCGGGAATACCAGATGCTGTAAGCTTGGCTGGGCGAGTAGAAATGTCTAACATCACGTTGAAACACCGATTCCCGAGCGAAGTTAAGCAACATTGAACTTGGTCAGTACCTAGATGGGTGACCGTTTGGGAATACCAGTTGCTGTAAGCTTGGATGGGCGAGTAGAAATGGCTCACATCACGTTGAAATACCGGTTCCTTTACGAAGACCGAAGTTAAGCAACGTTGAACCTGGTCAGTACATAGATGGGTGACCGCTTGGAAATACCAGGTGCTGTAAGCTTGGATGTGCGGCAGATATGGCTTATATCCACATCACATTGAAACATCGGTTCCCGTGCGTTCATGAAAATTAAGCAATGTCGAGCCTGGTCATTACCTAGATGGGTGACCCCTTGGAAACACCGGATGCTGTAAGCTTGGATGTGCGGGTAGAAATGGCTTACGGCTATATCACAATGAAACATCAATTCTCGTACGATCACCGAAATTAAGCAACGTCGAGCCTGCTCAGTATCTGGATGGGTGACCGCTTGGGAATGCCAGATAATGTGACTTTGAATGTGCGGGTGGTGGAATTGTTAATCGGAGATTGTTAATCATCTGCGTTTGTCATATTCACATATATCAGTTAGAGATCCCTTACAAAGCTTAACAAAATTTACGGAGAACTCAGACCAATCTCTCTTAAGCTCAAACAGAAGCGATTACAGTCTGCTGGCCACTGTCACCGAACGAACAGGGAAATCGTTTCATCCTTACTCCTATGGCATCCTTCTGGACACACACACACACACTGATGAGGAGAAAGTAGGAAGATGATTCAACAGAAGGATACTGAAAATTCCATGGACGGAGCGAGTAAGCAACAAGGAAGTCTTAAACAAAATGGCAACAGAAAGAACAATCCTACTCAGAAGATCACTTTCCAACTTATTTAAGATGATCTTCGCCCTCTCTAGCCTTCTAACTTTCTGTCCTGGAGTAACAAGTTGCTTCACATGTTTCATGCACAATTTCATTTTCAAGTTTTTTTTTTCACTGCTCTTTGGACTGTAATAGCTGAAACTCATCTCTCATGTGACAAACGTCTTATGAATTGAGTTGAATTTTTCGTAATTGATCTCTTTTTCTCTAAGTTGAAATGATGATCCCTCTTCCTGTTGTGACTTCCTGATCCGGTTTTCCTCTCTACTATTTCCTTTTTTAAAACTTATTCACCATTCTCTTGATGGTTCTTGAATGGACTTTGAAGATGGAAGCCAGAGTATGAATATTGGTACCAGTCCTGAAGACCTGAATGATCTTTTTCCTCTCACCATTGCTTATTTGGGAAGACTATGGGGCTGACACAAAACGATTTTAACCTCTTCTCTTTCTAGTTGAATAACTCAAAGGGGGTTTTCAGTGCTTCCTACGACAAATGGTGTCAAGGTGGCTAAACTAAAACGTCGAAAAATAAACTCAATTAGTCTAGTGTTTTTTAGGTATTAAACATTTCGTGGGATGGGCAATTATGCTGTTACGCGATTTGAACAATTTTGTTGTTACACGCGGCATATAGAAATTACGTATAAAAAAAACTTATCGGCTGGTTTGGTTTGGTTTGGTTTATTTTGTTTTACGGCATATCAACCTCAATGAGTTATTTAATGACAAGATTTTTAGGATAGATTCATATGAATAGAATATATATTCTTTGGATTTGATTGGTTTGGTTTAGCTGGGATCCTAACAGATGCAACCACCACAAGGCAGGATGAATCTGGTGGCACTGGTAATTAAGAGGTGGCCCCACGATCCTCAAAACATCCTGATCAGAGACATTGCTGCTGGACGTAGTTTATCGTCTTACCCAGGACGAGGGTTGATGCTAGAGCTGCGAAATCTTGCATGCATTCATTTCAACTCTTCTTATTAATAACTGAATTGTTTCTTTCCAGGTACGAGGGTGGGCTAAAAATTTCACAGGCTGACTATGAAGGAGTGATGCTAGAACTGTGAAATCTTGCGTGCATTCATTTCAACTCTTCTTATTAATAACTGCATTGTTTCTTTCCATGTACGAGGGTGGGCTGAAAAGTTCATAGGCTGACTATGAAGGATTGATGCTAGAACTGTGAAATCTTGCATGCATTCATTTCAACTCTTCTTATTAATAACTGCATTGTTTCTTTCTAGATACGTCGGTGGGCTGAAAAGTTCATAGGCTGACTATGAAGGATTGATGCTAGTACTGTGAAATCTTGCATGTATTGATTTCAACTCTTCTTATTAATAACTGCATTGTTTCTTTCCAGATAAACTGAAATCTGACTCTTCAAAGAAGACTATTCTTCCTGTTGATTAAAAAAGTCATTAAACGCAGATATGACGTCATCATTAATCCGATACTAGTTCCAAGCTAAGTATCTTTTCATGTTGGGGAACAGATGATAGTCATATCAGGAAAATAGGGAGGGTGATCCACCAGCTCAAAGCCACTGTCACACACAGCATCCATTGAAACCAAGAACTTCTGTGATGAAGCATTGTCTTGATGAAACAAGAAACATTTGGTATAATACTCTCCATTGATGGTGTGGCCCATTTGATAATAGCCAATAAACACAATGTCTTTTTCATCCCCCAAAACTGATGTTATCCCCTTTCCTGCAGATGAAACGACCATGGCCTTCTTTGGACCAGGTGAGGAGGCCTGTTTCCACTGCATAACTTTTCTCTTTGTCTCTGACTCAACCGGATGAAGCCAATCCTCATCCTGGATTAGGAAACATTCAAGGAAACCAGCTGGATCTGCCTCAAACTATGTCATATTTTCCCGTGATGCGATCAGCCTGGTGCGCTTTTAATCAGGTGTCAGAAGACGTGGCACCCACCGATATGCTAATAGGATTGGCTATTTCATTTATAGTCAATCGCCTGTAATCTATTGCCATGTGGTGAACAGGATCAATGTTGTCCTTGAAGGACGTCCAGACCTTGTTGACACAAGGTCTGGACGTCAAGAATCTCCTTTCACCTCCTGAATTCAGTTTCCCATGTCGGCATGAATTTTCTTGGGGTATAAACCCTTTTTTTTATGCAGGTACTCGATAACAAATCGATGACAAATTTTGTCACTTCTCAAGAGAATATTTCGAGTTATTTTGAAGACTTCTCAAGAGAATATTTCGAGTTATTTTGAAGACAGTCAGATATCAATTTACCTGGAAAGAAACAATTCACCTCATAATAGTAATTATTCCTGAAACAAGATGCCCTCTACAGTCAGATACATGACTGACCAGGCAGATTTTTTTTCTTCCGCAGTAGGTTGCCATTTCTTTCTGCGGTAGATCAGTTACCATCTAAGGCTATAGAACCTGGTCTGCCCTGCTATTTACTCATAACTGGGGGGGGAGAAGAGAATTCATACATTTCCCAAAGGTAAGTGAATGCACATAAGTGAATGTAATAGATTCGACACGAAAAGTTATTGCCATGCGTAATACACGCGTAGGCGATCATGTATCTTTCGATACATGACTGACAAGGCAGATTTTGTCCCACAGTAGGTTGCCATTTCTTTCTGCGGTAGACCAGTTGTCATTCAAGGCTATAGAACCCAGTCTGTTCTACTATTTACCCATAGCTGGAGTGGAGAAGAAGAGGATTCATACCTTTCCCAAGGGTATTAGCACGTAAGCGAATGTAATGTATTCGACTGGAATTCGAACTCGGCTCACCGATTCCTCAATCCGAGCCGCTATCCACTACTCCACCGTACAAGGCCAAATCCAAACAAGATTCCTTGGCAATGAGTACTTGGTCTGTGAGGCTAAACTGGTTGACCATTATAACTAAGTTGTGAGTTTGGTCCTCAGTCAGTCAGTTATGTGCCATGCGTGATACACGCTTAGGCGATCATGTATCTTTCGATACATGACTGACGAGGCAGTTTTTTTTTCTGCGGTAGATCAGCTGCCATGCAAGGCTATAAAACCCGGTCTGTACTGCTATTTACTCAGCTAAGGTAAGATGAAGAGGATTCATACTTTTCCCAAGGATATTAGCACGTAAGTGAATATGATGGATTCGGCTAGAATTCGAACTCGGCTCTCCGATTCCTCAATCCGAGCCGCTCCCTCATAATAGGAATGAGTTTAAAATAATGCATGCGAGATTGCGAGATTTGGCAGATCTAGCATCATTTCTTCATAGCCTATAAAGTTTTCAGCCCACCCACGCAGATATGAACAGACAAGGATAGATAGATAGATAGATAGATAGATAGATAGATAGATAGATAGATAGATAGATATTGAAGAGCCTGAGATAGATAGATAGATAGATAGATAGATAGATAGATATATTGAAGAGATAGATAGATAGATAGATAGATAGATAGATAGATAGATAGATAGATATATTGAAGAGCCTGAGATAGATAGATAGATAGATAGATAGATAGATAGATAGATAGATAGATAGAGTGCTGTCACTAAAAATTAGATTCATAGCTTTTGCCAATTTTTGAGTATTTAGTTTTAAAATCGTTTGAAAATACTTTACAGAAATACCTAATTTCCTCAGGTGTTTTTTTTTATTACAAACTGACTTCAAAATCTATTTCAAGAATAAATCCAAATAAAGTTTATATCTTTTCTTTTAACTGCATTTAATGGGAAATTAAAAATTCAAACCTGAATTTTAATTATGAATCACCACAAGTAAAATATTCAATTCTTTTATTACATTCGATAAGTAAAAACTGTGTAAAAAAATGTCAATGAATAAAAAGGGCTACTCAGTGAATAAGATAACTTAGATCGTTTGTTAATTCATAATTAATAATAATAAAAAAGATAAAATGTATATAACACCATAACGCTACTGGGCATAAATTATAAGAGACAATGTTTTAAATTTACATTGTTTATTGAAAAATCACACTAAAACTACTGACCCGTGAAATTTATTATATCATAATATAGCTAAATTGTTCAGTATAATTTCCCTTTGAATTAAATTAAGGCCTTAATTGATGACATAATGATTTACTAATAATGTGTTTGTGCCATGCATCTTGCTCATATACAACTTGTAAAGCTTCAGTAAGTTATAAATGCTATACACTGATCACCGGAGTTAAATTCCCACGCAACTTTTTTGAAGCTAAACTTAATCTTCAAACTGATTTGCTCAAAAAATGGTAACGATTTTGAGAAAATGTTGCCATTATCTATCATGTCAAACTCCACCTTTCAAATTGAGTGCAATACCACGCTTCCAAAATCGAGCTGCTCTATTTTATATTACCTCAAATACACACACGCGCACACACGTATTTTTCTTTTAACCATGACCCATATAAGTATGCGTCCGTGCGCACGCGCGATATAATAAGACCCCACATTTGAAAAAGTTGTTTTGTGAGACAAATTTCATTCCTTTAGCTTACCAACGCGAGTCATATTGCGTCGATGGTGATTTCAACAACCCGAGACAATTTACATTGAGTAGACACAAACAAAATTTGAATACGTTGTTCTTTTTCCTTTCTCGGCCAAGAGTCGTCTGCTTCGCCTCAATTTACTGAAACCGGCCATCTTGCTTACACAACGACTGTCTGCTTTAGCCGACGCCAGCGAAAGGTCAGTCTTTGTTTAATATTAATGTCCTACTTGCAAGTCGGACAAAATGACACTGGTCGGAAGTTATTACATTTTCTTTTTTGTTTTTTGTTTTTGTGAGTACTTTTATGAATTCAAGAGATAGTTAGAAAAAGACACAGACGAAAGCCAACGTATCCCAGTTTGAATTGAGAAAACCATTGTAAGCTCTCGACTTTAATAGCTATCGTTCTAACTGCAATGATTTAAACTTTAAAATCTTATCTTTATTAGTTGCTTGCAATGGGCATAGAAGAAATATTTACTTTCCACAGCATTTTACCCATCACCCCAAAAAATAATAATAATTTACTAAGCGTAGCTTAGAGGTGGCATAAGGTCACAAATATAGGGCGCCTAGAGAAGATCGAACTGCTCAATCGTAATTGATCTAACGAGACAAACTTGTTAACCATTACATCACTTCAAAGTGCACAGTGTGATTGACTAAGCGTAGCCTAAATGTAGCGAAAAGTATGGTGATTTTCTAAGCATGGCCTAGATGCGACACAAAGCCAAAAGCATGGGGTACTCAATGAGGATCGAACTCACTATTTAGTCGTGACTGATCTAGCGAAACAAGCTTGTTAACCTTCACGAACTGCCCAACTCCCCTAAATATACTTAAAAAAAAATGAATGCCTCCTGCCTATATTAACCAAAAATAATAAAGCGAAAAAAGGGGGTTTTCTGGTTTTTACAGTAAGGTTCACTCTGTACAAGGCCCGTGGGCCACTCGAGATAGAGGGTTACATTAAGGGGTTGTTTATATGGATAGGAGGAGAAGATAATGGTTGACTCTAAACTGGAACAGATTAAGATTTTAAAATATGACAACAAATACCTGGCTTTGCTGACCTTGTGCACGACACCTGGTGAGGACAATTTATCTTTACCTGAAGCCAAGATCAAGAACAATGCTGCCAGTGAAACAAAAGTATGAACCTAAAGCCGTAAAAGAAAGACAGACCAATAAATAAAACACGGGGAATTATGTCTTCTCAAATCAGGTTACTACATACGTCTTCATAATGGCAGACAGTGATCCAGAATGGGTAAATATTAGGAACATCCACATTCACATACAGTTCTAATGGATAAAGACCAAAGATCCCACCGAAAATGCCGGCATCACAACTCCAAGACTCGGCACAACATCGATCGAGTGGAAAGGCAAAAAAAGAATTTTGGATTCACTGAAAGAAAGAAAGAAAGAAAGAAAGAAAGAAAGAAAGAAAGAAAGAAAAAAAGATACAAATATTTAAGGTCTCCTGCTAATACCGCATAAATAATGGACTATTTCGTTTTAATTACATGGAAAGACAGAAAAGACAAATCAATGAAGCTACTTGGTTTCAATAAGAAAATGAAAGAAAGAAAGAAAGAAAGAAAGAAAGAAAGAAGGGAAGATAGAAATATTTAATGTCTCCTACAAATACCTCACAAATAGTGGACTATTTTGTTTTGATCACCTGGAAGGGCGGAAAAGACATATCAGTGACACTAGCTTTTTTCAGAAAAAGCAAGAGAAACGGCCAGAGATCAAACACTTGAAATTACATGCCAGCTTCTCTAAGTGAAGAATCTTGTATTTCATGTTCCCTTGTAAACTATAACCGATGGTAAGTACAAAATTTCATGAACTTTCTTTACTATTAAAAAAAAAACGGTCCATTGCTAAATGTAGTCGGTACCCTTTACCTTTCCAGTAAATACCTGACTCCTCCTACTCTACAGTTAAAAGAGACAGTTCAAGCCGAAAATAAAGTACTGATGCCATGTTTGGGTAGGAACTCCCAAGGCTTCACTTTCCAGTCTTGATAGAGACCAAGAGTGTTTCCGCGTCCTTGTGGGTAAAAAATTATTGTCCTCCTTACAACCACTTTCCTCACAGACGGAACGTCGTAAACTTCTCGCTTGCTCTATCGCTTTATACATGGAAATTGTACAGGCGAATTATATACCCTAGTTCCACCAGTTCTAAACTTCACGACTGTATTTAACGTTCACAATCTGTTCCTATCTATCTATCTATCTATATATATATATATATATATATATATATATATATATATAAGCCTGTTCGTATTTATACAAGTTTGTTCATATGTCGCTTTCTCAAACTGTCCCTATTTCAGTATTTTTATCTATCTATCTACATCAGTTTAATTGTATTTATCCCAAGCTGTTCATATTTATATATCCCAGTCTATCTATCCATATCTTTGATCCCAATCTATCTCAGTCGGTTCGCATCTATCTCTCTGTCTTTGTTCCCTATCTATCTATCTATCTATCCATCTATCTTTGTCATTCTTTCCCTCTCCTAACATAGACTGTTCATCTATCATCTATCTATCTATCTATCTATCATCTATCTATCTATCTCATTCTGTCGTATCTATCTCTCTGTTTGTTCCTATCTATCTCTCTGTCTTTTTCCCTCCTAACATAGACTTTCACATCTATCATCATCTATCTATCTATCTATCTCTATCTATCTATCTATCTTATCTATCTATCTATCTATCTATTTTATCTATCTATCTCTCCTCTGTCATCATTCTCTCTATCCTATCCCGTTCGTATCATCTATCTATCTATCTATCTGTTCATCTATCTATCTATCTATTAACATCTATCTATCTATCTATCTATCTATCTATCTATCTCTGTCCTATCTCTCTGTCTTTGTTCCCATCGTCTATCTATCTATCTATCTATCTATCTATCTTAACCCTTTCACATCTATCTATCTATCTATCTATCTATCTATCTCAATCTATTCATATTCGTATATCTATCTACCATCTATCTATCTATCTCAGTCTGTTCGCATCTATTTATTAATCATCTATCTATCTATCTATCTATCTATCTATCTATCTATCTATCTATCTATCTCATCTTCGTCTATGTATGTTCTGTTCGTATCTATCTATCTACCACTGTAACTTTATTAACATTCTTATCTATCTATCTATCTATCTATCTATCTCAGTCTGTTTGTATCTTCTCACTATCTCTATCTATGTATCTATCTATCTCAGTCTGTTTGTATCTTTCTATCTCACTCTGTTCGTATCTATCTATCTATCTCAATCTATTAATATCTATCTATATTTTATTGAGATGTATAAACATGCTGTGAGTCTTAAATTAAATCATATTTTGCCAATAAAACTTGTTTAAATGAACCCATCTCGCCTGATTTCATTCAATTTAAATGACGCAATCGTTCAATTCTCAAGGCTATAACGACTTTTACATTTTTAGCCTTACGTCTTTAAAATTATCCAAAGTCCGTACAGTTGCCAATTGACAGACGTTCATTGTAAAATGGACAATTACATTTTCAAAATCACAAATTTTATAGAACTATAAAGTTAAATATAAGTAAAATATAAATAAACTGTAAATAAAGTGTAGATTTAAAATTGGCCACAATTTACTCTTTAATCCTGCTATCATAATGTAAATGGATTGCTCGCGTTTTTGCGATAGAAATGCATCGAAACGTGGCCATGCGGGTGATGAATTATTCTCCATCCTGCGACTCTTATTACACGGAAGAAACATTGCCAACGTTTCACTAATATTGTAGAAATCCAGACGAGTTAAATTCATTTGTGGCACCAGCTCGAACCATCACAAATAGGACCCACCCTGCCGTGTCCATGTTGCAATGTTGAACATACTCCTGAGTGGATGCTTCCCTGACAACTTTTTCTCTTTAAGGCCAGGATCAACCGATATCTATTCTACGTGCACTCATAATACTTTATTACTTCGCCCATCCCTCACCATCGCTTTCAGCAACCCTCTACATTGAGTGGCTGTCGGGCCTTGGGTGAACTAAGAGTTAAAAAAAAATTAACTTAGAAACAGATTTTAAATTCAGGAAGACAGATTTTCGATGGTGAAATTAATTTCTCTCTCTCTATCTCTCTCTCTCTCTTTCTCTCTCTCTCTCCAACACATTTAAATTCTATCGTTCTCTCTCTCTCTCTCTCTCTCTCTCTCACACACACACACACACACAGACACATATTTACACACACATATTCACACACACACATTCTCACACACATTCACACACACACTTATACACACGAACATTCACAAACATACACACAAACATTCACACACACTCATACACACGCACACACATTCACACACTCGTACACACATATTCACGTACAGTCATACACACATTCACACACACAGTCATACACATATATTCACACGCACCCATACACACAAACACACACACTCATACACACAAACATTCTCCCACGCACAATCATCCAAGCACACACATTCACACCCACTTATACACTCAATCACGTACAGTCGTACACACAGTCACACACACATACTCATGTACACACACATTCATGCACACTTATATTCACAAACATTCACACATATATTCACACTCATACACACATTCACAGTCATACACATTCACACTCACGCACGCACACTCTCATGAACACACACACATTCACACACACTCATACACATTGACAGACAAACACACATATACACAGATTCTCATACAAAGGGCCACAAGTATTCCTCTAACTCTGTATAAAGTCCTGCACTCACACATCGAGCCATGCAAAAATAATCATAAAAATTAACGTTTTTTCCTTTTTCGTTTTCTTTTCCTCCATACTTACCACCTCCCCTCTCCCCACCTACAAACATTTCCCTCGGACTGACAGGAAAAAACTTCCTTGCTATATAAGGAATATACCCTTGCCATCCAACCACTCACGTACCTAAGGACTCGCTCCCTTCCCACAGGACCAATTCAATCTCTAACGAGCGTTTCACACTGGTGTGTGGTCACCACAGTCTGGAGTTCCGGCTTTGTGCTGTTTTGTTTTTTTGCTTTTGTCTTCTTCTCATATTTTTTCTATCAAAGGACTTCGCCTCCTCGTGTTACGAGATGTCTTCAGTTGCTTTTTTCTCAGCCTTCAATAACCAAGCTAAAAAGAAGAAGAAGAAGAGGAGGAGGAGGAAGAAGAAGAAAGCGTTTCACGCAACTTCCGTTAGGGCAGCTTCCGTTAACGTAACACCCAAACAAACATATTTTTTTTCTTTCCTTTTTTTTTTAAAGCCAACCTTTCTTTTTCCACCAGCGCAACAGATAGATAGTCACTACTTTCAACGGCTTGTCGTTTACGATATTAGCTTCCCTTGAAACATGACAAATTATACGAGTTGCTTGAAAATATTTTGACAAAAAAAAAGCCAAAAAAAAAAAAAAAAAAGCAGTAATAAAATAAACTAAAGAACGCGGAGTTGCTGCCGAGGTTTAAATTGCTATTTCTGTCCAAGCACATATTTGGGCGATGTTCTTACAACAAACGGAGACGTGTGTACCCTTAAATATGGTTCAGATGGATATATACAGGGTGCGATAGATAAATTGTCGACCTGCGAAATGACGCAAAAATAAAAAATAAAAAAAAAAATCCCTGACGTCTCATGTTAACAGATATGAAGGGTGCGATGGATAAATTGTCGCCTAAATGCGGCGAAAATGAAAAAACCTCTGGCGTCTCATGTTAACAGACATGAAGGATGCGATGGATAAATTGTCGACTAAATGACGTGAAAATGAAAAAATCACTGGCGTCTCATTTTAACAGACATGAAGGGTGCGATGGATAAATTGTCGACTAAATGACGTGAAAATGAAAAAATCACTGGCGTCTCATTTTAACAGACAGGGAGGGTGCGATGGATAAATTGTCGCCTAAATGACACAAAAAAAAAAAAATGAAAAAAAAAACACTGGCGTCTCATTTTAACAGATATGAAGGGTGCGATGGATAAATTGTCGACTAAATAACGCGAAAATGAAAATAACACTGACGTCTAATTTTAAGAGACAGAGAGGGTGCGATGGATAGATTGTCGCCTAACTGACGCAAAAATGAAAAAAGAACATTGGCGTCTCATTTTAACAGATATGAAGGGTGCGGTGGATAAATTGTCGCCTAAATAACGGAAAAAAATGAAAAAAATCACTGACGCCTCATTTTAACAGATATGAAGGATGCGATTGATAAATTGTCGACTAAATGACGCAAAAATGACAGTCCAAAGAGTAAATTTATTCAATAAAATCGCCATTACCTTCAACTGCGGCCTCCAGACGAATTCAGAATCTCCTGCAACTCTTCTGGACAATCTCGGTCTTTTTAAGTTGGTGAATGCTGCCATAATGCTTGGCTTCAGTTCATCTTTAATGTTACGAGGAGTTTTGTTGGTTTCGGGCTACACTACGTCTCACACAAAATCAAGGGAGTTGCAGTCTTGGGAGTTAGGTGGCCCGATGTAAAGTGTGCTATGGTCGCAGAAATCGTCTCATAGCCATAACTTGGTTCTCCTGCTTATGTAGCATGGTGCAGAGTCCTGTTACCAGACATAAAGCCTTCCAGTAGCCACCCTCTTGACACATGGCAGTACTACTCGTCGAGGCTTCTGATGTAGGCCTCTGTGTAGTCTGGGGTGCACACCAACAAATTCGGTTGTTCTGTTCTTATCAGAACGATCAGAGTGAGTTTTCCGAGCTGCCGTACCTTCGTAATCACCATTAGACTCATCCAACTCTTTCCGAATTCTTCGAACTGTCCTCAGATTGATATCCAAACACTCTAAAATGTTCGTATTGGAGCTTTCGACGCAAATGCCAAGCAGGAGAGTATAACGTATCCAAAATTCTGCTGGAGTAAATTGTGTCATGGTGCTCTTTTTCTCACAGATGGTGCCCAACTGACCCTACTAAAATGTGCAGCCGACAACATCTTGAACAAAAACTGCGCACACTATTTACATTATTCGGAGTATTGTCCTCATCTTTGTCTCCATATTTATTACAACGTTTCGGTCGTTGTACGCTTCGGCCTTCGTCAGGTGGTTGGAATGTCGAACTCAACCCAGTCTTTGGCCCACTCAAGGACACAGAGGATAGAGGCGTTAGTTAGAGCAAATGATAGGACCCAAAGAGTGTGAGTTCAATACACGGTTAACGCAGTGGAGAACTTTCATAGGGAAATTAACAGGAGATAACTGACATCCATTAAACATGGCACATGGAACTAGAACAGTCTACTCCAGTGAACGAAATAAAGGGTTCAGTTCGACATTCCAACCGCCTGAAGAAGACCGGAGCGTACAACGGCCGAAACCTTTTGATAAATATGGCGACAAAGATGAGGACAATAGTCCGAATAATGTAAATAGTGTACATAGGACCTCATCTCAGAAATATAGACAGATACTGAAAGGCCGAAACGTTGTAATAAATATGGCGGAAAAGATGAGGACAATAGTCCGAATAATGTAAATTGTGTACATAATACCTCATCTCAGAAATATAGACAGATACTGAAAGGCCGAAACGTTGTAATAAATATGGCGACAAAGATGAGGATAATAGTCCGAATAGTGTAAATAGTGTACATAATACCTCATCTCAGAAATATAGACAGATACTGAAAGGCCGAAACGTTGTAATAAATATGGCAACAAAGATGAGGACAATAGTCCGAATAATGTAAATAATGTACATAATACCTCAATTCAGAAATATAGACAGATACTGAAAGAACATCCTACTCAGAATCAGGAAAATATAACAGAAATACCTTGGACAAATATTGAGGAAAACTTAACCCTCACAAGGCCTATTGAGAGCGGAAGAAATAGGGAAAGGCGGCGAGATACTTGCCTGACGGGGTTGTGTGAATGGATAGTAGATAGGGTAAGGCGGGGGTGGTTATCAAATAGAGAAAGCCTGCTAAGGGTTCACAGGGAATAGGAGGATGTGGAGAGGTATGACCATGTATATCATGAAGGGACGCTGCACATATCGTCTATGGAGGTGGGTTTTTCAAGCGTTTTTAATAAAAAAAATATGCCGACGTCTACTCAAGTACGGGTATTCACTAACTATAATGTAACGGGCGAACAGCAAAATTGTCCAAATCGTGTAACAAAAGAATTGTCCAAATCGTGTAACAAAAAAATTGTTGAAATCGTGTAACGAGAAAATTGCCCAAATCGTGTAACAGCAAAATTGTCCAAATCGTGTAACAACAAAATTGTCCAAATTGTGTAACCGAAAAATTGTCCAAATCGTGTAACAACAAAATTGCCCAAATCGTGTAACAGCAAAATTGTCCAAATCGTGTAACAACAAAATTGTCCAAATTGTGTAACCGAAAAATTGTCCAAATCGTGTAACAACAAAATTGCCCAAATCGTGTAACAGCAAAATTAGCCAAATCGTGTAACAACAAAATTGCCCAAATCGTGTAACAGCAAAATTGTCCAAATCGTGTAACAACAAAATTGCCCAAATCGTGTAACAGCAAAATTGTCCAAATTGTGTAACAACAAAATTGTCCGAATAAAGTATATAGTGTACATAATACCTCATCTCAGAAATATAGACAAAAACTGCGCCTGCAGTAAATTAAAAATATAAAATGGCGACAATTTACTCATTGCACTCTCACTCTCTCTCTCTCTCTCTCTCTCTCTCTCTCTCTTAATATATATATATATATATATATATATATATATATTGTTGAGATGGATATATAATAGTATACGATAATACAGGACGTGACGAATACTCATCTGTTTGTGAGTGGAGCATCATTCTTTGGTTCTTCAAGATGCGAGGGTAATTCTTTCACATCGTCGTGTGGGAAGAGGAAATGTCGTGGCTTTAGAGATTGATCAAGATTATTATGGGATTATTCACACCTTTGCTCTTGTTTAACACGGTTATGCCGGCCAAGAGTTGTGAGACGCGCGTCGGTCTTAGTCTTAATATATAGCGCCGCGACCCGTAACTGTCAACGCAGGTCGCCACCACGAGTGGCCAACGCGTGTGCCCACGAGCGTGACGGCACGGTGGGGGACGGCGACGCCGATAGGTGCGTCTATTTTGCCCGGTTCGCACTCCTTCTTCTCCTTCTATTGATCAGCAATAGAAGTTTATCGCTTATTTCCGGTGGCTTCTAAAAATAGCGTTTTTAGTATGTATATATATATATATATATATATATATATATATATATATATATATATATATATCCATTAAACGTATATATATATATATATTTAAAAACGTATATATGTATATTTTAAGTTTATATATATATATATATATATATATATACCTAAAACGTTATATATATATACTTAAAAACGTATATATATAAACGTTTTTTAAGTAGATATATAGATATATATATATATATCTAAAACGTTATATATATATATATATACTTAAAAACGTATATATATATATATATTATATATATATAAATACAAATATAGATAACTATACTCGTTTCGAAAAACCTTCGAATTTTTGAGTTGTCAATAATCAAATCAATCTCGAGGGAAAAAAGGTTTTAAAAAAAGAAAGAGCTAGAAACATGAAAGTCTATCGAAAAAATTCCTTTTAGATATATTTTTATATATATATATATATATATATATATATATACTTAAAAACGTATATATATATAACGTTTTTAATATATATATATATATATATATATATATATATATATATATATATATATATATATATATATATATATATATATATATATATAAAAAAAGGCACGGTGGAGTAATGAATATCGGCTTCAGAGCCGAGTTCGAATCCAGGTTGAATCCATTACATTCACTTACGTGCTAATACCCTTGGGAAAGGTGTGAATCCTCTTCTTCTGCCTCCAGCTATGGGTAAAGTTGCAGGACAGACTGGGTTCTATAGCCATGGATGGCAACTGGTCTAGGAGAAGGACAACTCCGAATTCAAAACCTGCGGAGGGTCGTTTGGGGACCTTGTGGCACGTCGTGCACCAGATCTCTGTATTCGGCCCTTCAAAAAGTGTGGATGGTCCTGCACGAAACCTTCACCATTATAATCAAATCTCATGTGCCGGTGTCGGGCTGTCAGTTTCCTGGAAACTGACCTGCTTTGACCCTCTTACGTCGAACGCGACGGTAGAATCGATTCGATATATATATATGGGTATATATATACTTTAAAACATCATATATATATATATATATATATATATATATATATATATATATATATATATATATATATATATATATATATATATATATATATATGCATGTGTGGTTAGAAAGTTCACATTCTGATAATGAGACCCGGGTTCGAATCTCACCATAGTCGGGAAGGTGACTTCCTGACGTTATTGGAATGAATCGAGGTCGATCCCAGCATCCGGCACCTTTAGAAACTGCTTGAAAACCATAACACGGTTTAACACAAGCCTTGTGAGTGAAACTGCCGTCGATAGCTGTGCTAGCACGAAGTCACAAGTCATCGTGACCGAGGGCTTCAGTGTGCTGGCCTTGTTCAAATTGTTGATCACGCTAGATAACACGCTCTTTCCCAGAAACTGTCATTAAGGTCTGATCAGCCTTGTTGTTGAAAAATTGGTTCTTTGCGTGTTGAATAAACACAAATGCGCCTGATCAAGCGTCTGCAATAGGTATTAGTTAGTCACCCTAGTAGACAGGTATCCTCGAATACTAGTGGTCACTTATACACACACATACAACCATTCGCCCTTGCATGGAGTATTGCTGCCATATATGGGCTGGGGCACCTTCTGCTTACCTCGGAGTTCTTGACAAGATCCAGAGACGGATATGTAATCTAATTGGCCCTGATCTAGCGTCTTGTCTGCAGTCACTTTCTCACAGACGCGCCGTCGCCTCTCTCTGTCTTTTCTACAAATACTTCCATGGTAACTGCTCTGACGAGCTGCTTTTTCTGGTTCCCAGACTCCATGAATTCAAGCGCCCTACGAGGCTGGCATCCCGCTCCCACCCTTACACCGTAGAAACTTTTAAATGTAGCCGTCTCTTCTACTCCAATAGCTTCATACCTAGCACCTCTCGCCTGTGGAACACCCTTCGCAATTACTGTTTCTCTGAAAGCTAAAATCTCCAACTATTCAAATGTAATGTCAATCGACATCTCCAGTTACCTTGATCTACCTACTATCCTTCTCCTCATCTTTTCTTCTATCACTCCTATCTGCTCTTGCTCCAAATCTTCCGCAACCCCTGCATCCTAGTGGCTTCACGCCTTGCTCGGGGCGGAATGCTTAAAAAAAAATAAATAAATAAAAAAATAAATGTGTTCTTTTGAACATGTTTTATAGAGAAGCATAAACATACTGTATGTATTAAATTCGACCATCTTTTTCCAATAAAATATGATTAAAAAGATAGTAAGTACTTAATTAGAACAAATTTTATTTGCACAATTGTGCTGTTCCCAAGGACATTACGTCCTAGAAATTTTTAACATTACGACTTTAAAATCTTCACATTTTGACTTTAATATTTTTCGCGTTACAACTTTTAAAATTTTCAATTGATGTTCAGTTAGCTGTTGTCATACGTTCATCGCGAGATGGACAATTACATTTTCAAAACCCCAAATTTTGTAATAATATAAATAAATTCAAATTTCTAAAAATCTAAATAAAATGCGCGTTTGAATTTGGCGAACATTAATTTTAACTATAATTAATCAAGTCCTTTTTTTTTAATTTGGGGCCCAACTGTAATTTATAACAAGGAAACAATTCATGACAAAAGAAGAGGTAATAAAACAAATATATATTACCGTAAAATGGTAATACTGAAATATAACCACTATTCTAATTGGCACAGCCACTCGTATCCAAGGATGCCAGTCTACTAGAGCAGCTAGCTAATCCCTGTTGCAGACACCTGTCAGGCACATTTGTCTGTTCAACATCCACAGTGTCCACCTGTGGTTTATACTGCCACTATGCTGAGTGGACCATAGAGTTTCTGGGTGAGTGTAAGTTATCTAGTGTGATCAACAGTCTGAACAGGGCCAGCATGCACAAACCCTCTGTCACGATGACTTGTGACTTCATGCTAGCACAACCATCAACAGCTCCCATCTATCAAATCTCACTCATAAGGCTTGGATCAACCTGTGTTTTGGTTTTCACCTCCTCCAAACCAATAACATCAAGAAGTCATTGACCATGGTGGGATTTGAACCCGGGTCTCATGGGCAGAAAAGAAACATTCTAACCACTTGGCCACATGCCCATAACAATACCCCAATTAAACCAGTTTATCAATCCTCTCCTTTTGAATATGTCTGCTGTAACATTCTAATACTATAGCACGAGATTTTAAATTTCAAATAGGAGAAACGTTCCGCAATAGTAATTTTAATGGATTAAAGAAAATAATAACTTATTAAAAGCCGAATCCGTCAGAAATAGATTTAATAACTTGAAAACCCTTTCAGGTAACAACCCTCAAAGAAAACCCAGGCCTTAAATCGTATTTTCCGGTTTACAAGACACTGCGGCTTCGAAGACGCACCTGAATATTAGAAAGAAATTTCTAAGAAAAATAAACGTCATTCCCATACAACAACACATTCACCATGTGTCCCTCACATACTGACGCTACGTATTGTTTACATTAATCACTCGTCTGATTTTGTTTCTATGGCAATGACATACGACTCAAGAGCAGAAAGCCTTCCGCCGCTTCTAGCAAACAGAGCATATTTAAGGTTGTGGCTCGGCTCCAGGAAGGTTTATAGTCTTGGAAATACTTGTAACAGCTAAGTACTGAGGCTACATCATGTAAAAGGCTGAATTAAATAAATAGCTTTCATTATAGTGTAATGACTTAACATATAAGTCCACGTCCCTATCAGTCAAGTCAATTAGGTGAATGTTTAAGTTTACTTGATCCTAGACGTTGCCTTACGTTCGTTTTGGAAGATCCACACGTATTTTTCAAGAAAAAAGCTCCGTCTTGGAAGCCAGAAAATATGGTAATTAGAAAAGCTTATAAATCAAATAGTTGATGAAATCGAATGAGACGCAAAATTAAAATCCATCCTTAATGCCAACGCTAAATTTATAAGACACTAGAAGATCAATACAAATGCAGAAGTATATATACAGTACTGTTCGATATATATATATATATATATATATATATATATATATATATATACAGTGGTGTTCGATATATATATATATATATATATATATATACAGTGCTGTTCGATAAAATGACTCACCTGATTTTTTTACTAAATGTTCTCTTCTCCGATGAAACGAAAGTTGAGCTAAATTCAAAGGATAAGCGATCTAAAATCCGAAGAAGAAGCTTTGAAAGTTCTTTGAATTTAGCAGTAAGTACTGTCAAGCATCCGTTCAGCATAATGCTCTGGGGATGCTTTTCTTTTCATGGAACTGGTTTCTTAAAACCTATTGGAAAGACCCTCAGGGGCGAGCAGTACAAGAGAATTTTAGAGTCTTGTCTGCTCCCTTCTGCTGAAAGGCTGCAAATCGACCCCACCAAGGTCATTTTTATGCAGGATAATGCTCCCTGTGACAAATCAAAATTGATGAAGGAATACTTTGATGAGAAGCAGGTGAGTGTTATGACATGGCCGCCCAAATCTCCTGACCTCAACCCCATAGAAAACTTATAGAGCATTATAAAGTACAGGCTCTCGAGAAAGCAGTTGAGCAAAAAAGAGGATTTGATTGTGAATTTCATATCCGAATGGAATTCAATGCTTGGAGATGAGATTTGCCAGAACCTAATCAAGCCAATTCCAAAAATGGTTGAAAAGGTTATTCAAAATAAAGGAGGACCCATAGATTATTAAATATTTCGAACTATATTACCTATTATAAATAAATTATACCTCTATTATTCTTTATTTAAAGATGTTCGGTTATGTTTCTATTGATTACTAGTTGCAAAAATAAGTGTGTCACTTTTTTTGCACAGAGTTTTTCCCTAAATCTCATTTATATCCAAAATTATAATTATCAATAGAATACCTTAGGGTGAGTAAAATTTTTACGAGGTGGTCTGGAAGGAGTCTTTATATTAATAAGATTAAAAATTAGTTTGACCCCCAAAACAATAGGCGAAATTTTTTAGTTAAAAAAATCAGGTCAGTCACTTTTATCGAACAACAGAAGGATATATACCTATGTTTTGTAGATTATGAAAAATCTTTTGATAAACCAGGCCAAAGTAGCATGAGAATTGCTATATCAACTGGACATATTTGGGAAAGATACTAGAATAATCCAGAACTGCCTGCATACGAAGGGATAGAAAATAAATTGAAGTGGAAAGACTATATTGAATCCATTGCTAGGTCAGCTTGCTAAGGAAATTGGAATCTTCAGAATCTATCTTAAATATCTCTTGGTCCACCATTCGTCCATGCTTAGAATATTGCTGCCATATATGGTCTGGTACCCCTGCTATTTACCTGGAGCTCCTTTATAAAATCCGAAGAAGAATCAGCAATATTATTGGTCCTAATCTGGCAGCTCGGCTTCAGTCACTTTCCCACCACCGTAAGGTTGCCTCTCTGTGTCTTTTCTACAAATACTTTCATCTAATTGTTCGGGTGAGCTCTTCGCTATGGTACCTAGGCATTTTTTAATTTAAGCGCAGTACCAGACTGGCGTCAAGATGTCACCAATTTACAATAAAGCTGGCTAGACGTACCCGTAACTTCTATGCAAACATTTTCTTTTCTCGCACTTCTCGCTTGTGGAACTCCCTTCCGGCTCCATGCTTGCCAGCCAACTTTAATCTGCAAAAATTGAAATGCAAGGTCAACCGCTATCTACTCTCCTCCTGGTTACTCTTTTTTTGGTTCCCCTCTTTAGTAATGTTTCTGTTCCTAATTCTTCCAAGCCCTGTAATTCCTTGTGTCTTAGTAGCTTTTACTGCCTTGCATGGGATGATACCAATTTATATATATATATATATATATATATATATATATATATATATATATATATATATATAATTATTTATTTAAAAAAATTTATAACATAAATATATTTAATAAATCACTACAAAAATAGCCATTTTGTTTCCAACACCCTCAGTGTCTTATCAAGTGATGATGTTGAATGTCATCATCATTTGATAAGACACCGAGGGTGTTGGAAACAAAATGGCTATTTTTTGTAGTGATTTTATAATATTTTATGTTATAAATTATTTTTTAAAATAAATAATATATATATATATATATATATATATATATATATATATATATATATATATTATAAATTTTTTTTTTTTTAAATAAATAATTATATCTGCTCTACTTTGTATTGAGCACTCTTTTAAGAATAGTATTTGTTGGTTATTGGAATTCATTCCATATATATCAATCATATTCTTGGGTATATATATATATATATATATATATATATATATATATATATATATATATGCAAAAGCAGATACGGTTATAAGACAAAGATGTGTATTCTTACTGAACTTATTCAGCCTATATAGCGAGGTGATTCTGAGAGAATTGGAAATCCTACCAGGTTTCCCTATTGACGGTCGAAGCCTTAACAACATAATATATGCAGATTAGCGCATGTCGATTTTGAAGGTGCCATATTGCACTCAATTTGAAAGTTTTGGTTTCTCATTGTAAATAATGGCACAAATTTTTTTTTTCCAAATCGTTATCTTCTTTTGAGGATAAGGGTTTAAAAGATTAAGTTTAGGTTCGAAATCGTAGCGTTACAATTTCATTCCATGATCAATGAAAACCATATAAGAACGGCCTTATAAAATTTATAATTTACTGAAGCTTTACAAATTGTACATGGACAAGATGCATGGCACAAGCAAATTATTACTAAATCTTTGTGTCATCAAATAAGACCTTTATTTAATTCAAAGGGATGTTATACTGAACAATTTAGTTATATTATGATGCAATATATTATACAGAGCAATAGTTTTCGTGCGATTTTTCATAAACAATGCAAATTTAAAACATTTTCTCTTATAATTTGTACCCAGTAGTATTATGATGTTATATACACTTTTATCTATTTTTTGTTTTTATTAATTATTATCTTACAAATGATTTAACACAGCTTATATATTGAGTAGTTTTTTGTAATCTTTTACAATTTTTTTTTTTACATTTTTTACTTATCGAATACAGTGAGAAATAGCAAAATGTTCTTGTGATGATTCATAATTAGAATCGTGGTTTGAATATATTTTCCATCCAATGAATCTAATGCAAAAGATATCAACTTTATTTGGATTTATTCTTGAAATAGTCAAATTTTGAAGTCAGTTTGTAAGCAAAAATCTGCGGAAAGTAGGTATTTCTGTACATTTTTTTCAAATAATCTTAAAACTAAATACTCAAAGATTGGTAAAAGTTATGAATCTAATTTTTGGTGACAGCACTCTATCTATCTATCTATCTATCTATCTATCTATCTATCTATCTATCTATATCTATCTATCTCAGTCCTTTTCCTATCTATCTATCTATTTATCTATCTATCTCATTCTATTCGTATCTATCTATCTATCTTATTCTATTCGTTTCTATTCGTATCTATCTCATTCTATTCGTATCTATCTATCTATCTATCTTAGGTCTTTTCCTATGTATCTATCTATCTATCTTTTTATCTATCTCAGTCTTTTTCCTATCTATCTATCTATCTATCTATCTATCTCATTTTATTTGTATCTATCTATCTATCTATCTATCTATCTATCTATCTATCTATCTATCTATCTATCTATCTCAGTCTTTTTCCTATCTATCTATCTATCTCAATTTATTCGTATCTATCTATCTATCTATCTATCTATCTATCTATCTATCTATCTATCTATCTATCTCAGTCCTTTTCCTATCTATCTATCTATCTATCTATCTATCTATCTATCTATCTATCTACCTTTTCATCTATCTCAGTCTTTTTCCTATCTATCTATCTATCTATCTATCTATCTATCTATCTATCTATCTATCTGATTTAATTAATATCTATCTACTTTTGGTGTGATTACTTATCCCATCAAGCCTCTGCATTCATACTGAGTGCAATGTTGATTTCCTAAAAAAAGTTAAAAATCAACCTGCCCTAATGCAGATGACACAGTGTCGATAGCAGACAGAGAGAGGAAACTACAAGAATTACTATAGAAGGATATAAAAGAAAACGTGAAGAAAGGACTAAGCATTACTCCCAAGAAGGCCAAATACGTGGTTCTTAGCATTGGAAGAACCGAATTGTTTTTTTTATTCCCTCTATAGAAAGCTCAAAGTCTATTTCAGGTAGAAGGTTCGAAATGGATTCCGAATAAATTAATTCCGGATAATACAAATATTAAATAAAGAGGAACAATTAGGAAAGAAACAATCTGGCATAGCTGATCTTGTGTAGAGAGAAAAGGGTAAAGGCCAACACCTGTTAAATAAAGCAAAAATACTCCAGAGAAAAAAGCGCTGGACAGTTAGATATCTAAAGGAATCAGCGTATAAGGTAAGCTCTGAGGACCTCAACAGTAGGCCTAGCATAGAAATAGATACTATAGGGGAGCCGTTAATTAATAAAAAAAAAATGTTACGAGGAATGAAAGCTCATTAGTACAAATTAATCCCGATCCAAGAACTTCTCACCCCTTGGAGGAACCACTCCCTGTTTGACCATGTATTTAGGAGTATAGCTGTATTCACCATGCTTGGCCAATTGCAGGTTGGTGAGGTGATTTAAACTATGAGGATCTCCTTAGTAGGTCTAGCATAGAAATATATACAAGATGGGTACCATTAATTAATAACAAAGAAAAAGTTACCCAGGATGAAAGTTCATTAGAACAGATCTTTGGACTTTTCACCCCATAGAAGAATTCTTCAAAGATGTGTCCTTACTCACCACGTTTGGTCAATTGCTGGTTGATAAGGCTATTTAACAAATATTCGGAAGTTTTGAAATTTTCAACAGAAGTTTCAGGGTCCGCAGCAGACCGATGAATCGGATCGACAACCACTTGAAGAAGGCCGGAGAGTACAACGGCTGAAACGTGGGGATAGTAACAAGAAAGATGAGGACAATAGTCCGGATATTTGTAATGTAAATAACAGAAGAAAATGTCTCTTTCTATATGTCTATATCTCTGAGATGGTATTTATCAATCCACCCACGGGGATCGAATGTGGCACAAGGCCTTTTTAATGTGGGTATCTCTGAGCCCGTAGGCCCCGCCAAAAATAAATAACCATCCAAACCCGCCGAGGCGGGCCAGTTCCGTCAACCTCACCCAACGAAACCCTACCCTTCGGCGGATCTTCGTCCCGGTTCCTCTCTGCAAGCAGAGAGTTCGACAGACACCCGACCCGGCAGCTCACAAAGCGCAGATACTACACTTCGATCCTAGCCACCAGGCCGAGCGGGTATTCTTTTTATCTTTTTTCTATATCTCTGAGATGAGGTATTATGATTACTTGCATTATTTACATTATTCGGACTGTTATCCTCATCTTCATTGCCATATTCACAACGTAACATAACTGTACAATATCTGTCTATATCTCTGAGATGAGGTATTATGATTACTTGCATTATTTACAATATTCGGACTGTTATAATCATTTTCATTGCCATATTCACAACGTTTCGACCGTTTTACGCTCTGGCCTTCTTCGGTTGATTAATATTTCGAACCGAACCCTTTATTTCGTTTGATGGGTTTTGACAATTTTTTTGAATATTCGGCAGCCTTCGAGGAAGGCAAAAGGGGAAGGATAATCCACTCGTTAAAGATTTAGGAATTTAGCATCCAGTTTCAAATATCAAATGAGAGACTGAATTTAGACATGGACGCCATGTGTTTAGTGTTTCCATCTTTTTAAATATAAAATTAATTCACACATTGCTCTTCTGTTAACTTGGGGTGCACCTGGCTACCTTTCTGAGTGCATTAGAAAGATTGATTTAGAGAATTCGAAGTCTGAGAATCAGGCAAAGTTCAAAGAATTATTCCATTTATTTTTAAGACATTACATTATATTTAAAATTGCTATTGAGAATCTTGTGTTTGATGGGCTTTGACAATTCTTTGAATATTCGGCAGTATATGTACGCTTTGAGGAAGGCAAATAGGAAAGGATTATCCACTCGTTAAAGATTAAGGAATTTCGCATCCAGTTTCAAATACCAAATAACAACGCCTTCCTTTGACATGGAAGTCATGTGTTTAGTGCTTTTAGATATGTTTTTAAATATAAAAATAATTCATAAATTACTCATCTGTTAACTTGGAGTGCACCTTGCTGTATCTCAGGACGCATTAGTGCATCCGGACGCATCGGTTTTGAAACGCTGGGTTAGATTATCAAACATGGTTAATTGGTGACCTCTTAAAGGGCGTCAAAACCATGGAGAAAACACTAGTTAACAATATGTTGAGTCAAAACAAGATGCTATTTCTTGTGAAACGTTTTTGTTTTGTTATTTAACGACAATATACGTACTCTTATGTTAAGGCGTCCATTGAAATGAATACAGACAGCGAAATCGGGACATATTTTTCGTAACTTGCCGATTGGAGAACGACGGGGGTGATGAAAATAGAGAAAGGCATCTTATTTCTTCGGAGATGTGAAGGATTTTCAGGTCGCACCCAAATTCATACCAAACACTGCTTGATTACCTCCACTGAATTACGACAAGAAACAGGCACAAAAAGTAGTGAAGTAAAGTAGTGAAGGAAAACGAGAAGAAAGGACTAAGCACCAATTACAAGAAGACAGAATACATGGTTGTCAACAAAAGAGGCAGACCAACATGCAAATTAAAGATGGGGAATGGCTGCATCAAACAAAGAAAAACATTTAAATATCTGAGAAGTGTGCTAACAGAGGACAGAAAGTGTGACACCGAAATCCGAACACGCATTAAGATAGTAAAAGATGCTTTCCAAAAGCTAAGCGAAGTATTATGTAACATGAAAATGTCGTTAGAAACTAAAAGAGTACTGAAATGATACATGATATCAGTCCACCAATATGAGAATGAATCCTGGACAATCTACTCACAAAGATGAAACTTGAAGCAAGCGAAATGTGGTTCTACAGAAGGATGCTGGGAATACCATGGAACGAGCATATGAGCAACGATGGAGTTTTAAAGAAAATGAAAACAAAATGGACACTTGAACTCAATATCAGGAAGAGACACTTGACATATCAAGAGCATATAATGAGGAAAGAGGGCTTGGTGAATTTAAAACTCACAGGGCGAAATGAAGGCGAGACGGACAGAGGAAAAGAATGCATAAACCTAAAAAGCTTCAGTAAATGGATGGCGGAACAACGTTTAGGAGTGATAGCAAAAAAAGAAAAAGAGTTATTAAGAGCTACAAAGGATTAGAAATTGTGGAGAGCCATGATTACCAACGTTCTGATTGGTCGCGATACAAAGAAGAAGAATAAACTTGTGTAAATAAATGGCAGGATAGTGTTTAGGGAAGATAACAAAAAGACAAAATTTATTAAGAGCTACAAAGGAGAGGAAATTGTGGAGAGCCATGATCATCAACACCAGGAAGGGACATGGCAAAGAAGAAGAATATTCTTCCCGTCTGTATATCATGTCTGCAAAATGAACAAATTGATTCAGCACTCAGAAGAATACTGCAACTTTCCTGAGCAGACATAAGTTACAGTTTCTGGGAGAGAGCGTGTTATCTAGCGTGATCAAGAATTTGAACAAGGCCAGCACACTCAAGCCCTCGGCCACGATGACTTGTGACTTCGTGATAGCACAGCTATCGACGGCCCTCAAGCGTCCCATGTACCCAATTTCACTCACAAGGCTTGGGCCAACACGTGGTATGGTTTTCAGACACTTTCCAAAAGTGCACCACGCTGGGATCGATCCCTCCAGTCTGATAACACCAGGAATTAGAGTTGTTGTGAGTTCAATACCTGGTTAAGGCAGTGAAGAACTTGGAGAGGAGAATTAACGGAAGATAACGGATAATTGACATCCATTAGACATGGCACGTGGAACTAGAACAGCGAAATGAAAGCGAGCGAAATAAAGGGTTCAGTTCGACATTCCAACCAGCTGAAGAAGGCCAGAGCGTACAACGGCCGAAACGTTGTGATAAATATGGCAACGAAGATGAGGACAATAGTCCGAGTAATATAAATAGTGTAAAAAAATTAATAATAATGATAATTCCCAGCATCCCTTGTTCGTGCGTATCTGTAGTCGCATCGATATAAATTTGGTTCGATGAGGTCCTGAAGGACGAAACGCGTAACAAATAAACTTTTTCCACTTTGTCATACACATTCCCCCAATATTGTTCTTATATATATATATATATATATATATATATATATATATATATATATATATATATATATATATAGGAATAGAAGAAAGGATGAGGAGAGGGATAGTGGATAGATCAAGGTAACTGGAGATGTCGATTGACATTACATTTGAATAGTTGGAGATTATAGCTCTCAGGGAAACAGTAATAGGGAAGGGTGTTCCACAGGCGAGAGGCGCGAGGTATGAAGCTATTGGAGTAGAAGAGACGGCTACATTTGAAAGTTTCTACAGTGAAAGGGTGAGAGCGGGATGCCAGCCTCGTAGGGCGCTTGAATTCGCGAAGTCTGGGAACCAGTGAAAGCAGCTCATGAGAGCAATTACCATGGAAGTATTTGTAGAAAAGACAGAGAGAGGCGACGGCGCGTCTGTGAGAGAGTGACTGCAGACGAGACGCTAGATCAGGGCCAATTAGATTACATATTCGTCTCTGGATCTTGTCAAGAACTCCGAGGTAAGCAGAGGGTGCTCCAGCCCATATATGACAGCAATACCCCATTCAAGGGCGAATGGTTGTTTTGTATATTTGGAGTATCGATTCAGGGGAGAAAAATTTCCTGGCGCGGCACAGAGAGCCAACTTTCCTCGCGGTGGAAGAAGCAATTGACTCAATGTATTTGTTCCATCT